TACTTTACTATCAATATCATTATCTTTTATTTATTTCTTAAATATTTATCAATTTTTGTTATTTGTTAATTTTTTAATGAGGAATGTCTCTTAAAATGTTGCTTTTATCATAACGTTTTTTTGTTGTATATATTTATATTATTTTATTTATAATTCTTTAAGAAATTGAAAAATTATGTATACTCACTATAATTCTTCGTTTAATATTTTACTTATGATCGCATTTCTCACCACAAAGTTTTTCTAATAGTAATATACTTAATAAATGCTTGTGAGCGTTCTCTTTATCATAATTTTTGTGAAATATATATTGATTTACTATTAAAAAATTAACGATTTCGCGGGGGTCCTAAAAACCACAACTTAATAGTACCTTTAGACACACAAAAAAATTAAAACCATTACACAATCTCTTAAGTATAATTTTTTTAAAATTAATATTTAAACAAATCATAAGAGCCAATACTAAGAGACCATTGTTGAGGATAGTCTAATGTGGTTTGGATGTGATGTGACTATCTTATATTGTGGAATGACAAAACTATTTGAGTGCGACTTGAGTACGAATAACCGACCGAACCGAACAAAAAAAACCGAACCGTATATGGACCAAAGTTTTTAAAATAACTGAATGGTTAGTAAAAATCTCCTATCCAAACTAACCGAAACCGATCCGAATCGATAACCAAACTATTAACCGAAATATCAAAAAACCTAAAAGATACCCAAATATAATACTCAAAACTATAATTATAAACATACTTTCTCAACTATTTCTTCTTCTCATTCTTCACCACAAACTTCACTATGTTTGTGACTGGTTCAGATAAAACAACCTTGTTCTTCTGACTCCCCAACAAAGCTTCCTCAACTGATGGTTCAGAAACAAATTGTCCTGCAAAAAGAAAAATCATCAATAAGCAAAAAGACAAGACATCAAATCAAAAGTAAGAAGAAGATGTAAAAAAAACTTGATGTAGAACCAGACACAAAATTATTGATCATCTTTGCCCAAATAACGTTCCTTAAGCAACTTACACACAAAAAAAGTAAAAGATGAAAATTATAAGAGAATGATGAAGAGTAAAACCTTTTTCGAGAGAAATCAGCAGATCATCACTCAGATGTATCAATCCGAAAACATCAATTTTTTCCCCAGTATGTCTAAGCAAATGTGACCTTTTTACTTGATTTCCTTCATGACGCTCAAGCCATATATAGAGACTTCAAGGCCTCCAATATTTTACTTGATTTGGTAGGATTGAATAACTAAATATACATCTCTTTAGATGTAAGAAAACTTGTCTCTCAAGTTAAGATCATGGAGAGCCTTGCAAATGTTATATCAAGATTCAAATGTATATTTATTATTGTATAACATGTTTGTACCGACCGGACAGGTCCGGGCTTAAATTGCGGGCTTCGGGCCGGGGCGGACTAGCCCGATTGACATGCCTAACTACGATACATATTTTTGATTTTTTGTATATTATGTACTTTTTGTTTATATAAATCAGATTTTGTGGACATTTTGATTTGTGTTCTTCTTTATTAGTAAGTTTATCCAATTTTTTTTTGAACTAAGATCACAGAGAAATTTACTATATATATGAACTCAAACTTGTCTTTGGGGTTTGAGAAAAGAGTGGCATATGTATTATTATAATGGAGTGAAGGGGGTAATAAGATGTGAGGAGAGTGTGGGAACTCTGAACCTGGACGTAAATTGGAGCTTAGGGAGTTGAAGAAATATAGAATCGTATCGAAATGAGTTAAGGAATTTAAACTCTCTCTTTTTTCTTCTTTTTCGCAAGATATGTACTTCTCGAATATTACGTGATTATACGTTTTTATGTTATGACTTGCATCTTTGTACATGCTCGTTTACGTTGCTCTAATTAATATTACTTTCTTTTTCCTTATATGTTGGTTCAATTTGAAAGATATAACTTGGAGATTAAGGGGAATAAAAAAACTTGGAGAGTATATTATCAAATATTTTTCTCTGTTTTGATGTATTTTGTAGAACATTTTTGCATATTAACAAAAAGGGAATTAAAGAATTAAGTTGAGTAGTAACATACTATATTTTGGAAATATGATTTTGGTCAAAGATATTTTGAATATATGAAAGCAGACCAAATCAGAGAAGAGTATTGAGTGGTGCACACGTTTGTTTCTGTTTGACCATCTCATTTGCTTTTCTTTTGTCTTCTATGTTCCTTTTGTTCTCCCCTGTTTCCTTTTACAATGCTATGTCTCTATCCTCTGTTTCTTCTTCCCATCTTCTCTCTGCTTTACTTTTAATCTTTTGTCCTGTATACAGATTCTCATCCTTGCTTCATCGGACATGATACTTTTGATTTCAGTTCTTGCATCCAAGCTTTTTTCTTTTTCTGATTGTCTCTAATGGGCAATTGCTTTGATTCTTCCGCAAAAGTAGATAGCAGAGAAACTCCTTGTCGTGGTATGCAACAAAACACCTCTCTTCTCTTAGATTTCTCTAGTTGTTGTCATATCTTACTTTTGATTATAAAGTCTTAAATTGAGTTCTTTGATTAGATAAAGTGTTGATTCATCAGGTTTATCAAGAATCTCTGCCAAAAGAAGTCAATCGTCTCGGTTTTCAAGCTTAACCATACAATCACCATCTTACAACGACGACAGAAGTTTGGCGTCTCTTCAAACGCCGAGAAGTGAAGGAGAGCTCTTAGCATCTCCCACGCTAAAGGCGTTTACATTTAACGAGCTAAAGACAGCCACTAGGAATTTCAGACCCGATAGTGTTATTGGTGAAGGCGGTTTTGGTTATGTCTACAAAGGATGGATCGATGAACGCACTTTATCGCCTTCAAAACCGGGGTCAGGCATGGTCGTTGCTGTCAAAAAGCTTAATGAAGACGGGTTTCAAGGACACAGGCAGTGGTTGGTATGCTTATTTAATTATCCTCTCGATATGTATCAACTTTAGACCTTAAGCAATAGAAACCAAAATGGAAACCTAAAGAGGGAATTGTTGATTTTACAGGCGGAGGTTGATTGTCTTGGGAGGCTTCACCATATCAATCTTGTGAAACTAATTGGATATTGCTCAAAGGGTGATTTTATTCGGCTTTTGGTGTATGAATACATGCCAAAGGGAAGCTTGGAGAATCATCTCTTTAGACGTAAGAAACTTGCCTCTCAAGTAAAGATCAATGAGATCCTTTGCAAATGTTATATCAAGATTCAAATGTATATTTGCTATTGTGTAACAGATTTAGAAAATTTAGTTGGCTTTATGTTCACAATTTTTTTTATTTTATTTTAAAATTTTGAAATCAAGACATATTATATGTGTAGGTGGGGCAGAGCCGATTCCGTGGAGAACAAGGATGAAAGTGGCGATTAGTGCGGCGAGAGGGCTTGCTTTCCTTCATGACGCTCAAGTCATATATAGAGACTTCAAGGCCTCCAATATTTTACTTGATTCGGTAGGATTGAATAACTAAATATACATGTTTTTGTTCGTCAAATTTCAATCTTAAAAATGTTAGAGATTTAATACAAACCAAAGAAAAGTATTTGTTGAATTTTTGATTGAAAAAATAAAACTAAGCGGATCAAAAACATATAATGGTTTTGGTTTTAACTCGAGCATTTCCGTTTGATTTATATGTCCATCTTTACGTAGGAATTCAATGCAAAGCTTTCAGATTTTGGATTGGCGAAAGTAGGACCAACCGGAGACAGAACACACGTATCAACCCAAGTGATGGGAACTCAAGGCTATGCAGCACCTGAATACGTTGCCACTGGTCGGATAACGGCCAAAAGCGACGTCTACAGCTTCGGTGTGGTCTTGCTCGAGTTACTGTCGGGACGTCCGTCCATAGACAAATCGAAAGTAGGAGTGGAACGAAATCTGGTTGATTGGGCAATGCCTTACTTAGGAGACAAAAGGAAAGTGTTTAGGATAATGGACACAAAGCTTGGGGGACAATATCCTCACAAAGGAGCTTGTTTGGCTGCTAATACTGCGTTGCAATGTCTTAATCAAGAACCTAAATTGAGGCCAAAGATGTATGATGTGTTATCTACTCTTGAAGAGTTGGAGATGACGTTGAAGTCGGGTTTTTCAAACTCGGTCATGACATTGACATCTTCTTCCTCTTCTTTGACGGCGAAACAGAGAGTTAGAGCTCAATGCCGTGTTGTCTACTAGAAGATGTCGACGTGTTCGGTGAAGTAGCAACATAACTAGTTAGGCTTTATGAGTGTATGCATTTTTTTTGTTTTGTTTTGGAAAAGGTGCTATTGTGTGCGTTTTTGACTTCCATATACTACAATACACATTTTTGTATATTATTCTTTTTATTTTATTTAAATCAGATTTTGTGGACATTTTCATTTGTGTTCTTCTTTATTCCTCTTTAGTTTTGATGATGAACAAGTTTGTTCTATACTTCTATATGAAGAAGGAGGAATGTTTGAAGAATTGTATGGGTCCACATATCTGATTTTGACAAAACGTTATTTATGAATGGTGAATAGTTTGAAGAGCAAAGAAGTATTTCTCTTATTTTTCTAAACCAAAATGGTTACCACTTAAAATGTTAGGGATATTTGGATGACAAAGAATTAGAAGTCATTTTCTTATAATGTATCATAAATCTGCTCTAAACTCCTCCCCAGTTAGGGACGGAATTATCATTGTCACCAAGTTTTAGCTGTTTGATTCTTGCAATGATAATTCTCAACTAATTTTGTTTGATGCACATTCATCCGAAATTACTAAGATTTGCGACAAGAAATCCCATCCTAGAAATACAAATTCTTGTAATAGCCATGGCTATGTGTGTGTTTTCAAATGACTAAATTCAAATATTGCATATGACTAAAGTAATTATAACGAATTTGGAAAATAAATAGAGTAAAAGCGTTAATAAGAACAAAAAATGCTAGTAAGTAGTAACAATAGAGAATTACCAGACGATGTTTGAATAGCTTGAAATTACCAAATATCATCTGGAGTTCCTCCAAACACTTCAGTAAAAAAAAAATTACGAAAATAGAGAACCTTTTTTCAATGAAGTGTTCGGAGGAACTCTTGAGAATATTTGATCGAGGTGATACTTCATTGTAAGTTATCCAATTTTTCTTTTGAACTAAGATCACAGAAATTTACTATATATATGAACTCAAACATGTCTTTAGGGTTTGAGAAAAGAGTGGAAGAGTGGCATATGTATTTATAATGGAGTAAAGTGGGTAATAAGATGTGAGGAGAGTGTGGAAACTCTGTACCTGGACGTAAATTGGGGCTTAGGGAGTTGAAGAAAAATAGAATCGTATCGAAATGAGTTAAGGAATTTTAACTCTCTCTTTTTTCTTCTTTTTCGCAAGATATGTACTTCTCGAATATTACGTGATCATACGTATATTGCTATAACTTGCATCTTTGTACATGCTCGTTTACGTTGCTATAATATTACTTTCTATTTCCTAATATGTTGGTTCAATTTGAAAGATATAACTTGGAGATTATATTATCAAATGCAGCCACGTTATCGTTCATATATAACCGTGTTTTACAAAAAATTACCAATGATTTCATCATAACCAATGCAACTAGATTGTGATGATTTATTTTAATGGTAACGTTGAAAAGCTTTTACGATTAGGTTTGTATATGTATCAACTTATGGTTTTATAGATTTTTATCTAGTTCAAAAGAATATACTACATTTCAAAATATTATTTTTGTTTCATAAAGATGTGATTTTACATTTTCAATTTAACTTTAACCTTTTGTATTCACTTTACCCTAGTAATTTTAAATCTATTACGTAATTAGAACAAAAGCTGTAGAGTAACTCCCAATATACATACTGTATGTTTAAGATTTATGAACTTAAAAATATAATTAACTTTTTAAAATATAATACTTTTTTCGTAGGTTGAAATAACATGGGCCAACAACAACAACAACAAGAAGTAGAACGAAGCCCAATATACAAACAAAGACACACACGTGAGCTCAATCTCTCAGAAGCGTGTGAGAGAGGAAGAGACAATGAAGAACAGAGAAGATCGTTCGTACAAAACTCGATTTTTATCCTCTAGAACCCCAATGTGATGACTGAGCAGGACAGGTGTCCACTGATAATCCTTCCCACTTTGTGTACAAAAGAGAGAGTATCGTGAAGATAGATTGTGTTGAGAAATAGAGGAAAAAAAAAAAAAGATTGTGTTGAGAAATTTGAGTAAAGGAGTAAACTTTATCTAAAACTTCTCTAGTTCTCGCTCGAAAAGTTGCTGAGATGAGGAATTACAGAGACCCCATGACTGATGAAGACGAAAATTATGGAAGCAAGCCACTTAAGTTAACTAAGAAGCAGAGGACTACATACCACAAGGTCTGTGATTTTTTCTGTAAAGTTTCCTCCTTTATCCATCAATCGTTAGTTAAAATGTGACCTGGTTCAGTAATTTGTATTTGTTTCCCGGATTTGTAGAAAAATGCTGAAACTTTCAAGTCCAAAATGTGCCACCAGTGTCAACGGAACGACAGAGGACGTGTCGTGGAATGTAAGCATTGCAAGAAAAAGCGTTATTGTATCGCATGTTTACAAATTGGGTATTCTCTTCTTACCATGAACAAACTGCTGAGAAGGAAATTGAGGCAAAGATTTTAGGTACTTTCTCTGGGTTTTAGTTGTGCTTGAAAGGGTGCAGTTTCTCTTGCTGGTTATTGATGGTTTGATTGGTTTTTGTATCAATCTCTTGCTATTATGTGTAACTAAGTATTTTCATTATACTAGCAAAAGGATGTCTTATTGTTTTTTTAATTTCACAGGGATGGAGTTTGAAGAGGTGAAGCCCCAAGCCACTAATTGTTTACCTGATGAAAGACTACACTGGTAAATTACCTTGGCAAGAATATGACAAGGTTTTTAGATCATTATGTTGTTAGTAACTTGTGTCTTCCTTGTTTTGATTCCTTTGACTTACAGCAACATTTGCAAGACCCCAATCTTTGATATTCATAGGATTTGCTCTAGCTGTTCGTCTGATATCTGTCTTACTTGTTGCCTCGAGATCCGTAATGGAAAGCTTCAGGCATGTCAAGAGGATGTATCTTGGAATTATTATATTAACAGAGGTTTAGAGTATGCACATGGAGAAAAAGGAAAGGTTATTGAAATGACAAATGATAAGCCGAGTAATGAAGACCGTGTGAAGCTCCCATCTATGTGGAAAGCAAAGGAAACTGGAAGCATTAGTTGTTATTGTGGTGCTGGTGATTTGGAGTTAAGAAAATGCTGCTGAATCTAACAAGCTTTGGGATTTACCTGAAACAGTTATGGAGCGATGCCCTTGTTTTAACTCTCATGGTCATATTGATAAAGCCAACTATAAAAGGTTAAAGGCTGCTTGTCGAGAAGGTTCAGAAGACAATTATCTATATTGTCCAAGTGTAAGAGATGTTCAACAAGATGATTTGAAGCATTTTCAGCATCACTGGGTAAAAGGTGAGCCTGTGGTTGTGAGGAATGCGCTCGAAGTTACACCTGGTTTAAGCTGGGAACCAACCGTAATGTGGCGTGTCTACCGTCAGATAAACTTCACCGAGCATGGAATACGTCCTGAAGTTGATGTTGTTGATTGTCTAGACATCTCTGAGGTCAGTATATTCCTCAGTAATTGTATCGCATATAGATAGGGTCCATCTTCTTTCTTATATAAGTTTGTCAATGCCTAAACACTTTCATAGCTTTAATTATAGTCTGCTTTTTAACACCTATCAAGTACTTTATTTTGATGATTTCGATACTTGAATAGCTAATGTTGATCTAAATTGTATCGACGTCAATATTACACATCTAACCTAGTAAATTTTTTTTTATTGATTCGGGTCATTTCGTTTTCTGGAAGATACATGTAGAATTAGTGGTTGGTTGGAAAGAAACTGCTGAAAAGCTCACAAGAATACAAAATGGCACATTTTTTGCTTTTCAGATTTGTAACTTCTTACTATACTCTTGTTTATCTAATGACATGTATTGGGTGCAGGGAACAATTCATCCTCGAGAATTCTTTACTGGTTATACAGAAGGCCGTTATGATTGCAAGGATTGGCCACAAGTTCTGAAACTGAAAGATCAGCTTCTTTCTAAGTCTTTCAAAGATAACTCGCCACGCCATTGGGAGGAGTTCTTATGCAGTTTGCCTTTGAAGCAGTATACTCACCCAGGTTATGGACCTTTGAATCTCGCTGTAAAATTTCCCGAAAGTTGCTTGGAGCCGGACATGGGGCCAAATATGTACATTGCTTATGGATTTGCTGAAGAATTTGGTCGTGGAGATTCTGTGACTAAGCTGCACTGAGACTTCTCTGATGTGGTTAGTACGCACATGATTTGTCTTTTTTCGTATTTGTTTTCTTTTCTTTGTTATAGTTTTGTCAATTCATCTGAATGTTCTTTCTTGGTATACCATAATGATTCCAGATCCTGTCAAAACAACATGATTAGAAAGCAGTTCATTAGATTTTTCTTTATTACATTTAGGATTAGTTTGATCTTACTTCATTTCTGGATCAGTTCATTTAGTCTCTCTGTTTTCTGTTTATCTGATTTTTCGGGGAAATTATCTTTTTCGAATTTGAGTTGAGCTATACCCAGCTCCTTTTGGAGCTTTCTTTAGATTTGTTGAAATCATCATCTCCCGTTCTAAGGCTAAGAATCAAGTGAATCTCCACAATGTCTGTTAGGATTTTGAGATCATGATATCTAACTGGAAGTTTTTGTGTTCCTCATAGAACTGGACCAACCATTGTCATGTTTCCATTCAATGTACTTTGCTAAGATGAAGTTTTTGTGTTCCTCATAGAATTGTATCATTTCTCAGACCTTTGGAGGATGGTTATTTTAATAAATCTGGAAGAGAAGCAACACTATGGGCTAGTGAATTCTTAGTGCTGCATTTTGGGAAATCTGCTAGTGCTCTATATTTTTCAGAACACAACATGTATGTTTGTTTTGTTGTCACAGGCGAAAACAATGAAATTGAATTCATTTTGCCGTTGCTGGCTTAACTTTTCTAATATATTAATTGCTGTTCTGGTTTTTTCAGGTGAATGTTTTAATGCACAAATGTGAAGTGCCCCTCAAAAACAGGAACACAATGAAAAGAATAGAAAAACTGAAAGAACAGCATGCTGAACAAGATCTCAGGGAGCTGTTTTGTTCAGAAGTTAACAATGAGGTTCTTGAACAAACTAGTGAAAAAGTGGAATATTTTGAAACTGATGAAGGGGCTCTTTGGGACATTTTCCGTAGAGAAACATCACAAGGAGTTCAGACATATGTACTGTTGCCCCTTAACTCAGGTACACATTTTTCTTCTCGTCGTAGAGGTTACATTGAATATATGTATATTTGTTTCCAGTCTCTCTACAATTCTTGCTGGTTTTTTGCTTATCTTCATTCATCTTCTTCTTTTAGGTTGTTCATCCAATCCAATAATCCATGATGAGACTTTTTATTTGACGCAGTATCATAAAAGAAAGCTGAAAGAAGAATATGGTATGCTGAATTATATGAGTTTACCAACAGCAGTTTCTTTCTTTCCGCTTTAACTTCGCAGTTTTGGTAATATTCATGGGCTGTGTAATGTGTAGGCATTGAACCATGGACCTTTTCTCAGAAACTTGGAGATGCTATTTTAGTTCCTGCAGGTTGCCCTCATCAAGTCAGAAATTTGAAGGTTAACTTTGTTTTACTTTTTTTTCTGCTTAGGACTCAGTGGATTTGAGCAATTGAGGTCATTGTAGCTCTCTTGTTTCTTGCAGTCTTGCATAAAGGTAGGGCATGGCTTTGTCTCACCTGATAATGTGAGCGAGTGTTTACGCTTATCAAATGAATATCGTCTACTTCCACCAAACCATGATTCAAAAAATGACAAGTTTGAGGTATTTTCTGTTGTTGTACTCTCTCTCTATTTCTGTTTTGTTTTGTGCAAAACTCAATTCATCTCTAAATGTTTATTTATTTATTTCTGCATTGGTTTTAACAGATAAAGAAGATGAGATAGTGTTTGCAATGGACCATGCTCT